GATCCCAGAATCTTGCAATCCTGATTATACTTTTTCTCCCACATCTCTTATACCCCAGGGAATCAGGAAAGCATAACCCTGAACCACTTCCTAATCCTGTCACCCTTCCAAGGACTTAAGGAATGCATCTGTTCTTTTTATTAACAGAATAGCTTATGAATATTTGTTTCAAGGCATCTCCTTAATTCTACACTAATATTATACGACCTTGGCTCCTCCTGAAACCTACAATCATCTCTCTATCCATACAGCACTATAATCTGTTCTAGCTGATATTGTTGTTGATATTGTTCACAATTTTTGTGATATTGGGATTCTTATGCTATAATTTGAGCATTTCTTTCAAGCAATTTTTAAGGAATTTGAGCTGTGTGTATATGTGTGTGTATTCCAATCTGCTTTTTCTTCCCATATTTGCACTGTCAAAGATCATCAGAAGCAGCAGCTCTTATGTATTTGTGAGGTACCTGGGCAAAAGAACATCTGGGCTCTCCTGTTTTTATAACCTCTTAGCCCCTAAAAACACACACAAAGGTTTGCTGTTTTAACATAGTACCTACATTGCCATCGGCCTCCCAGACAGTCAAGCTAGCCAACGGAGAAAAATGGACATGACTGCCTTTGTAATGTTATAGGCAAGCAGATAACATGCTGCCTTGAAAGAGTGCAGTTAGTGGAACAAATCTCAGCATTTCCTTAGCTTTGTTGTTGATCTTGGAATGTTTCCAAATGGGAACTAGATCTCTATTCTGGTCCTATCCATCATTCTTAATTCTAATGATGCTGCCACAACTAGTCCAGAAAATCATAAGAATAAACTAGGAAACAAGAGTCATCCCCATTTCTCATCAGAGCTTTTTTTAAGTTATGGGAAACTTCTGACATTACATTCCCTTCCATTTTTAAAACACATACACAGGGGTAAGATAAACATCTGAATATGATTTTAATCATAGAAAGGTAGATGCAAAAGTAAACATTTGAAATCTAGCAAAGTCCCTGGAAGATTTATTTGATATAGATTAAATATTATAAACTTTTATAATTTTTAAAAAGGTTTTCTACTTTGAAACAATTATTATGAAAATCATTCTTAAGGAAGTTTCTAATAATAAATAAACTACGTTACTAAAAGGCAACCTGAATTTTATCTTATACGAAGATGGATTGTAAAGGAAGGAAATAGGTATTTAGGAATGATAGGAGTTATTTTACTTGTGGCACAGGATTGCTTATAATAAGAACAAACTTGCCCAGAGGACATTTAATTTAAAAGGCTGTCTGTGCATTTCATAACTTCATCTTCCAGAGATTTAACACTAATGCAATTGTGACAGCTGATGCCACAACCAAAATAGCTTGTGCAATTGTAAATACACTTTATGAAAAACTAACAAATACAGTACATATTTCAGTACAAACATTTGATCATTTCTTGTACGAAGGATATATAAATAAAACAGAATGATGTAAAAAAATTGGCAATTGGTTGTAAGGCAGCCAGGATAAAGCAAGGTTAAAACACAAGTGCTTAAATTTGTATCATATTTTCTTTTTTTTTCCTTTTCCATTATTTACTAAAAGCATGTATATCTTTAAAAGTCTTTAGATATCTACACACATAGATGGGAGGTCAGGAACTTACATTAATTATCTTCAGGGATTTGACTGAAGCAGGCCATCTGAGTTTGGTTAAACTTCTATCAAGTTTCAATCTTGTTTTGTTTGTTTGTTTGTTTGTTTGTTTCCTGCTCAGGACAACAAACATATCCCACACACCTTTTGCCTCCTATTTTTCCCACGACAACAACCCTGTGAGGTGGGTTGAGCCAAGACAGCAACTCTCCCAAAGTCACTCACCTGGCTTTTTAAATGTTCTTACCAAATGGTGAGGTGAAAACTTGCTAAAAAAATTAGAATTAATGTGTAGCAGACATTAGCATCTGAATAATGCCCAGTTTTGTGGTGTTGGGGTTATATCTGGAATTCTGGGAGTTATGATGGTACTGTCAAAAAATGGCTGCCATTGCAGACCCCACACATTTATACAAACTTATACATTGATTGTCACAGTGGGGCTGATATTTTATCACTCTTTTTTTCCCAAACATTGGTGAGATTTCCCTCCACAATCCCCTCTCGTCTCCAAATAGCTTTGCTTTGGGATTTTCTGGGTGGAGGGCCATGTGAAAGCAAAACATCGCCCCCCCCCCATCATTTTCATTTTCCAAGAATGCATTTAGCATGCACTTAAGTTCTGGTACTTCATTGAAAATAAAGATTATGACAGAAGTGAGTGGAAAGCAATGCAGAGCACTTGTTTGCAGATTCTTAGCCAAAATGTGCTTTTCCCAAGATCCTTCAGCAGTTGTGGAGATTTTGAAAAAGATACAGTAGTACTGAGATACTACGGTACGCTTTGAAGCATTTTAGCCTTCTACTCGGGAGCCCTGCTTAGCTCTTGTGAATACTAGTTTCTTATGTACTAAGTTTAATTACATTAATCCAAAAAAGTAGGAAGGAGGTTGACCAATTGTTGAGGTGGCACTACCAAACAAAAAACAACCAATTTGTGCCAGCACCAACGAATAACTCAAGTCTGCACATATTATAAATAAGCCTTTTTACAGGTTTTTATAGCATGAAAATGGGACAGAATTCTATAACTGGGTGCTTTCAAAATGTGTTGGGATTGTAAATGTCATCGGCCCTAGTGACAATGACTATAGGAAGGCACAATGACTATAGGAAGGTACGGTTGGAGAAAATTATATGCCATAATACATTTACAAAGAAGGGATTACAACCCTCAGATGTTTGCTAAAATCCCAGCTTTAAAAATAAACAATTGGTATTTTCTAGATAGGTTGGAATTCCAAGGTTGAAAATCCTATGAATTGTATTCCAATACTTAAGAGTTCACAAAGTTGGGGAATGATGGTATAAAACAAATCAGTAATGATACCCACCTAAATCCAAGCATAGACTGTTACAAATTGCAAAAAAGCAGAGAGGATTTAACCACCTCAAGGCTCTAAGGATAAACCTAAACACATTTACGAATTCACTACTGAATGAATGCATACTGGATATCAATATGAGTTACCAGTTTGTTGACTGAAAAGAAAATATTTTCCCTAGAAATTCCATTTCAGTAGCTCTCATGAGTTGGGCAAGCTTTGAAAAGTCTAGAAAAATACCAGAAGTTATTGTCAAAGGTGATGAGGATTATTTCTTTCTGGGATAGAAGACAGAATAATATTGTGTACACTCTGATGAGTGCTATTGCTCCTTTCAAATCTGTCTGCGAATTAATCCTTATCTCTTTATTATTACTGTCTTTCTAATCATCATCTTCTTCATTGAATCTTAGAATCAAAATAATATATAAATGCAATTTTTTTTCTGGGCTTTAATCATATCACCTTTGATCCTGAGTTATGCAATGTGGAACAACGTAAGCACCAATTTGCACAGAGATGGTTACAACATTATATTCCATCTTCCCATCTTTTTCTATGTTGCTTTTTATTATTCCATTATTCCATTCCATTAGGATAGTGATGCTTCAATTCCAGGGAATCATCGTTGGCTCACCTTCCTGTAGGCTGTGCAACTAGAGCAAGGAATTCAATCAAAGCACACCACTATTTCCATTTCCCTGACATGTGATTTAGGAAGCAAAAGTTAATTTTAACTGCAAGTCTGGCTTATCAACAGTGTTTATTTGAAACTTGTAGAATCTCTCTTACCTCCTTCTGCCCCCTTTGTTTGTTAGAAGGAAGGAAGCAACTGACTCGCCTGGCAAGGACTTGGTGCGTCTGATGTGGCACCTCAACTGCTTTGTTGAGCAGCAGTCCCTGGCCACTTGTAGGAATGGTTGGTCTCTTGGATCTTAAAGGCATCAGGGTCTGGTAGAAGAGATAGGCAGCCAGAACCAGCACCATCAGGAATGGGCGAAAACGACACCATCTCCGGCCAGGCACAATCTGCCGGCAAGCCATGGCACCTCAGATCTGTTTGTCCCATTTCCACATGATAGGGGCTGCTTTCCAGTCTGGCTGCTTTCCACCAGCATGAAAGAAAAGCAGAAAGGGATGTTTTCTGTACTCAAGTTCTCTCTCCATCACTTCTGGACTTGAGTTCTTCCATGACATCAGCAGGCAAGAAATGAGAGGCCCCCAGCAGAGAAAGGCAAGCAATGTCCGATCTGGAAGAAACAATGGGATTGACCGAAAGAGTGAGAGACCAAAAGAAGTAACATATAAACAGTGTGGATTGGAAATGAACACACATTAAGTTTCCAAGTATTGCAAACAGAAGAAATGTGACCGTTCAAAGCAAAACTCCATTGCACAAATACCCAGGAAAGGACCAACCGAGCAGTTACATTCAAAAAAAGATATATTGGCTAAAAACTGCAATGGGCTTTGCACATAAAGCTGAAAAATACAAAGGCTTTTCTAGCAGGACTCTTCTTCTCCTCCCTCCCCTTCCAATTCCTCTCCCGATAGGTTCTTTAAAAAAAAAAATCATTTCCTTCATCTTTTAAATTGCCTTTTTCCTGTCAGAAAACATACACAGCCTTCCCTCCCTGCAGAGTTTTTAACAGAGCAAAAAGCCTAGTTTTTGCTCGGTCGGATTTCTTTTCTCTCTCTCTCTCTTTTCCTCCATTGTCTTTTGGAGTTCAAAGTCATGTTTACTTACTCAGTTCTTCACCCTGTCAGACGTTTTCCATTCTCCTCTAACGGGTTGCTGATTAAAACCACTCCAACAGCCCAGGCTCATGACTTCAGCTCATCTCCACACACGCACACAGCACTCCATCTGAACTCCGTTGGACCACAGACATATAAATAAAAACCAGGACTGCCCGGAGGGGTGGGGTTAAGTTTACCAAGCTCTGAAAAATCTCTCCATCTGGGGACTGTACTGGATCGTAGAAACAGTTTACTTTTGCCTCCCACATGTTGCTTTTCAGCACTGTAAGAACTTCAGATCTGCACATAAGTTACAAAAAAAGTGAGACAGAGGAATGAATGCAAGCACTATGGCAAATGTTAAATTAAGAAACGAAGTAACTCTGGGCTTGACAAAACCACTTCAGGGTGTTCCACTTTATTTGCGAAACATACAGAAGAAGGGGTATGAGAAAAGATTAATTATGTGGTCTGAGGCATCCTTGGGTTTATAGCACCACTTATTGTAATTCTGTGCAGCTAAAAGTTAGCAGACCAATAGCTGACTTTAAGAACAGGGAGAAAAAAAAAGAAAAAAAACAACAAAATTAAAACTTTTGAGTTGGGCTTGAGTCCTGGCAACTTCTTCTTCTGGTAAATCTCTGTGATTTTCCTGGCAACAGATTTTAGAAGTGGTTTGCCCTTGCCTTCTTCATTGGACTGAGAGAGAGGGACTGGCTCAAAGTCACCCAGCTGGCTTTTGTGCCCAAGGAATGACTAAAATTCACAATCTCCTAATTTCTAGCCTGATGCCTTTAACCACTACATCAAACTTGCCCTCCTAGCTGACTGTAAACCATAGTAAAAGCAAACAAGCCCACATACAACTATTATAGAAATTTCAGGAGCATTTAGCAGGAAACCTCACTCCCTCCTTCTGCCACAGATCATTATTTTCCCCCTCTTTTTAATATTACTGGTGAAAAATGTTTTCTTTCCTGGAACCTAGCTAAAAGATGATGGGCTAGTCAGAAAAAGTGGATCCTGGGGAGCAGGCAGGACATGGTAAGATTATGTGGTAATCTCCCCAAGCTCTCCATTCTAGCGGCTTTCTTCTTAATTGAGACAATATGGGACAATTCTTCTCCACATTTGCCAAATGTTTTCCCCTCTCCCCCTCTATCTTCTTTAGATAGTATAACTAAAGGCCACTCCCTTTCGTTCTGTTTCTCATTCGCCTATAGTAGTTTTCCAGAATGGGTCAACTCTCCACAACAAATTCTCCACAGCAAATCTTGCCACAGAACTCACTGGCCAGGTCGCTGCGGGACAACCCATTGCAGGACAATTCAACAAATACCCAAGGTTCCATGAATTTTGACGGAACCATGGCCAATAATAATAAAATAAATTTAATCCAGAAATATAGAAGTGACAATAATTTCAATAAAAATGTGGTCACCAATGATAAAAGTACTGAATGAAGCTATTAATGCAGTTTTGAGTTATCCCACAGCGAATTGGCAATGGTGAGTTACCCTACAGCCTTGTTTCTGATGGCTCTGGAAAGTTTTGCATATGTAAGAGACATGTAGATAATGTATATTGTTATTATTTATTCTTTTGCCTTTTTATCTCTTGCCAATTGGACAAGTCTAACTTTCCCCTTTGGCCTGTCTTTTCCCTGTTTTGCTAGATAACGGTTTTGATATTTGATAAAATTATATAAACACCAACCTTTATTTTTGGTAGAAAATCTGAGTGGTCTGTGTGCTGTGACCAGGAAATAGGGAATGACTAGGCATATACTGGGTGCAAATTAAATTGGAAATTGCTATGGAATTTTCCATTTTGAAAACATTTTTGGTTGTCTTGGAAACTTTTTTCCCAAAGTTCTAATTCAATCTGATGGAAAGAGAATAATTTCAAAACATCTTCAAAAATTTGGAGGTTTTTTTTTTTCCTTTCCATAATTATAAGGTGATCAAGGGATAGATGTGAACGCATCATCCTGCCTTGTGATCTTTCTCAAGCTACAATTAAGTACCGATGGAAAGACTTCCTCTTCCTACGGTACTTTTTCAAATCAGAAATCCAAAAGGCAACATGAGACGTTGCATGGTATTGCGTAATTAGTGTAATTAAAAGCAGCAGCAACTAGCCCCTCTTTCCTTTAATAACTAGTAGTGCTCACCGCTGCTACACAACTATAACCTAAACTTAAAAGCGTTGCCAACTTGAAAAGTTAAAAATGTTCTGAAAATTAGGTACCCCCAAAGCCCATTCAGGACACCGAGGAACATATTTGGTCATGGGTGTGATCAATGTCCATGGTGGTCCTTAATAAGACTTTTGACCACCTAAATCTGATTGTACCAGGTCAGATTTGGGAGGAGAAACCCTTATAATTCTGACAGCTCTCCTTGCCTGGGCAGTCTAGAAAACAAGAATCGCGGCCATGTAGAACTTTTCTATCAACTGTGATAGGCATCCCTGAAACCAGAATTAAGATATCTTAACTCTTAAAAATCATATTTTTGGACCTTACTGGAATATTTTAATAATACACCATTTGTTCCTACTGAAATGAGGGGATCATAAATTATTGACTACTCCATTAAGTAGTGGCTTCTCTACAGAGGCAGCCTCAAACCATGGTGGCAGTAGGACAGCCAACAGGTCAGAAGCAGAAAGCCAGTAAAAGAAACGTTTAGTTCTAATAGCGAATGAGATGAAGTTCTAGACTTGTATCGCCATATCAAGTCATGCTCCAATTGCAACAGATGTTTCGAGAAATCTGAATGTCAGCTTACTAAAGAGTTTCTCAAAATCAGGTTACTTGGTTTCTCAGATAAACCTCTAGAGGCCTCGTTTTTGTAGTTTTTTTTTATATTTTAAAACAAGCCTACCTCATTTGAGACTATTCTACACTTATTTATGATGAGAGTCAACTTTCAAAATTGCGTTTTACATGCCATTCTGGAATTGACCCGTTATATTACAATTCTTGTGTATAAACCTACTGTTCATACTTTCTGTTCATGTCTCATCACTGCTAACAATGGCTTTATCCATATATGTTGTTGTTTCTCTGCAGAAACAGGCAATGATTCAATCATCGACGCCATTATATCAAACATTTCTGTATCATTAGTGGGGTTGACTTGCATGTAAGGAGGCAGAGAATCAGAATTCAAATTTCCTTCTGATCACAATATTAGACTTCACAGCAGCCAAGGTTGTCAAGAGGAACCCCTAGTGGCTGCAGCAGAAATTCTAGCCACATCTTGCTTAGATGGGTGGTGGGAATCTATTATATTCCTAAACTTTATTGCTAAACTGTAACTCTTGAGATTGTGCAAGTTCTATTTAAAAGGGAAAGCTGGAATTGTTTAGTCTTTGAAAATGTCTGCTTATACGAGTAAAATTGGTTAAAATATGCTCTGACATTCATACTTCCAGCATACCAACTACTTAGAAGATGCAATTATTATAATAAATGTTGTCCTCACTATATGAAAAAACTATATTTCATTTAGAGAAATGGGCACTTATTTATACACGTGACTCACAAAAAGTAACAATATAAAACTATGTACCTTAATCCACCAAACCTTTTTTCAATTATTGTCGTTGATCTATCTTTAGCAAGTTACTAGTAAAAGAACTTGTATTTTACATTTAATTCCAGAAAAACTAGACACAAAAAATTTCTATAGCAGAAAAAACAGTAATAAAAACAAAACAGATGAATATACTGAAAGGAAAACATAGAGCCTCATGGAGTCTTAAAATACCCTGTTTTAATTTGACATGAAATGCCCTAATGTAAACACTTCCAATTTCTGAAAATAAAGCCTCATTGCTCACCTTTATCCATGATAACTGGTATGAATTTGAATCCAATATATAGAGTCCTGGGTTTGCTTATCTCTAGAACAAGACTTGTAATTTTCCAACGTCTAATGTAATTGTAACTATGTTTGAATGCCACTTGTAAGGAAAATGTAGTTCTATAAGCTTATGGGGGTCATTTGCAAGCAGACTAAATCCAATTTTGGCTTCCACCTGCTGCACAACCAATAAAGTGGTTTCATATTACTTTTCGGAAGATACTCTTAAAAACTATTACAAGACAACTAAGAAGCTTCAGCTAGAAGGCACTCTGCTCCATGCATCCCACGCAAGATGGATCATGAAATTGTTGGGCAGACTAAGGGCGAGCATTAAAGAGGTAAAAAAATTTTTTGCAAGCGTTGAGCAGTAACTAAAAAAAATTCTTTCAGAAGTGTGAATGAGCTGATCTTCCTTAAGTCTGGGACTCATTACTCCGAAAGCCTAAAAACCATGGTGACCAAGATTTCTGGCTAAGGTCTGACTCTGTCTGACTTTTCCTCTTCCATCTCGACTGAACTTGAAAAAAATGATTTGAAGATTATTGTAACATAACATACAGGGGAAATGTCCACTTTTTTCCCAAGCTAAGAATTCCGTTTGATTTGCTGGAGGTCACATTCCAGCAGGCTGAACCTTTCCACCCAAATTTAGGACATTCATCATGCCTTCTATGGATATTGTATGATCTAATAGAAGAATCCCCTTCTATTCTTTCTCAACCATACCATCTTAAAGAACTGCTCTGAATTGCTGAGGGTAGAAGAGTGTTGGAGATGGCATTAGAAGTGGCAGGAGATGAAATTAGAAAACAAACAAAGCAAATGGTATACTCCGCTAAGGTAATTCCCTTATGATAACAACAAACTTGGGATCCAATTCACTGTTTCTTGCCATGTGCTACCAGCTGACGGACCTTAATTCAACACAACTTTGAATTATGCAATTTGATGCATAAATGCATTTCCTAGACATAATATAAACATTAACCATTTCCAGTTTGAAAGCGTTTTTTTTTTTTTTGCTTACGTGAACCACGTTATGTGAACCAATTATTTAGCATTATAAATAAGGAAATAGTTTTTTTTAAACAAAGAACCACCCACCACACAGTACACATATTGCTTAGTATGTTGGAGATGGAAACCTTTTATTTATATATTTTATTAAAAAAAATAAAAACTATTTAAAATTCTCCAGTTAGACTGCATATTATGAAAGCTTTCATGAAATGTTGTACTGTCCTTCTTTGATACA